ACTCAGTCACCTTGGTGTTCTCCTGCTCCACTTGGATTCCTGGCTTCTGGATTTTGTTAATAATTCCTTGCTTGGTCTGGTGGGTTTACTGGAGACTCTCAATATGAAAGCTTTCTCTTTTGCTGTTGAGCTGCACCAGAACAGGAGTTTATTCTATGCCACACTTCACTGAAAAAGAACAGACTTGCTGCCTTCGTTGTACGTTTACATTAGAGTCTTTGGTTGGGTTTGCCCCAGCTGGAAGCTGAAAAATATAAAATACAAGTGGAAATAATGCATTGCATGGCTAGTTCCTAAATCTGTAGAAAAATCTGGTCAGGTAAGGAGAACCTTTTCACAAACAAATCACAAAGCTAACATTGGAACAAGAGAGTTATAGTACCTGGTTATCTAGGCAGATAAAATAACTTCCATGAAAAAAAAAGCTAGGCATTGTTGGAATCTTGGGGTATTTTGACTTACGATGCTTATTTTTTACATAATAATGCAATTTATTATTCACCCTTCGAACAACAACTAAAATATATATGCAATTCGGTATGTTTCACACGGGACTCTACTCCAAATATAAAATAAAACAGACATCATCTCCTGGTCCTTATCCAGCAATAAATTGGTTTGCTTCTAAACCACCATAGGAGTCTTCAGTGTTGCTTCTTTCAAGAAACTAAGAGGGGTACTTTGCTGGAAGCATGCAGGATGGATTTGTACACACCCAAACTGGGTTCAAATGGGTTGTTGAGTGGATTGCGTTTCTTAATGAGGGAGGAAAGTCTTACCCCAAAGGTGCTTTTTCAAGAGACAACTGGGCTTTGCCTCTTAAAAAAGCACCTTTGGGACAACCAGAACTTGGATGACTGAGAATCTCCATAGGCCAAGGGTCTTCAAACTTGACAGCCTTAAGACTTGTGGACTTCAACTCCCAGAATTGCTGAGCTAACATGACTGGATGAGGAATGCTGGGAGTTGAAGTCCACAAGTCTTAAAGTTGTCAAGTTTGAAGACCCCTGCCATAGACATTTAACCCTTCTCTTAGCACAGAAAGGTAGGGCAGCTGGAATGCCCGTAGGAAGAGTACAATGATGTCAAAATGACAAGGGTGACCAAGTGATTGAAACTCTGTCATTTTTACCCATGTTTCATGCATCAGCCAGCTGCAAAAGCGGTAAGGTTTTAATTCCCTGATAAATTGTCCCCATTTTGATATCACTGACACCTTCCTGCCCCATCTGCATATCTTCTGATAGTCAGGTCCTTTCCTCTCTCATCCCAGATCACAAAACATGGAATGATGGATTTCACAGGGAAGATGGGGTCAACCTGTTCTCCAAAGCACCTGTAGGTAAGACAAGAACTAACGGGTGGAAGATCATTAATGAGAGACACAGAACCAAGGAGACATTCCCTGTTGGTGGAACAGCTTGCATCTGGAAGTTGTGAGTGCTCCATCACTGGAGGTTTATACTGTAAGAAGAGATTGGGCAGCCATTTGTCCAGAATGGTATAGGGTCTCCTTGCTTGAGCAGGGTGTGGATCAGAAGACCTCCAGGGTTCCTTCCATCTCTGTTATTTGGATGAAATTACAGAATTCTGTTGAATGTTGAATGTTAGTTGGGGTCCTCAAAGTCCAAGCTGTTGGACAATAGAGAGTTGGACAGTCAGAGATATAGTGAGCACCTATTCACGGGACATGTTCAAATAGAGACTGGACAGATAACTACATGGAGAACTTTCAGGGGAGTGTTAAGCTGAATTCCTGAAATGAAGAACAACAGCTACAACAAAACTTTAATTTGATCATAGACCAACATACCTGAAATGAACAGAAGAAGTCCAGCAGTAAGATTCTATCACCAGGGGTGGTTGCTAGGAGCTCTCAGGGTCTCAGGAGAGCCCCTAGCTAAAACTCTGCGGGGCTTGGAGAGCCCACAATAACCTCAGAAAGACATGCAACAAGGGAAAGCTCTTAATAGGCTTAATTGAACTTCTGGGCATTCAGCCAAGAGCATTTTACATCTTGTAAAAGTGTTGCAAGCTAGATAAGCAATCCACTCAGTGCTTGCGAGGGAGACCCATGGAGAAAATCAGATAACATAGCCACTAGCCTCTGAGGGGATTAATTCCCAAATAATAAGAATCACGTAACTCACCAGACACTCCACTAAGACTCCAAGATCCCTCTTACAGTCACTGCTATTAAGCCTGGTTTCATCCAGTCTTTTATTTAAGTATTAAATGCACAAAACAATAAACAACTTTTTGGTATATATCTTTTTTTAGGTAATAAGGACAAAGAAGTTATGTCGAGCTGGCCACACCCACCCAGTCATATGACCTCCCTGGCACACCCACCCAGCCACACCCAGCCAGCCAGTCATTAGGGCAGGGAGCCCCTTGCTAAAAAATTTGAAGCCCACCCCTGTCTATCACTGTATGATCTCTTTTGGTTCTGAAGCATCTGATGGGTGGTTTAGGGATGAAATTTAACATGGACAAATCTTGACACTGTTGTTAGCCAACTCAGTTAACCTATTTCATAATGGAAGACATGAAAAGATTATTAATTCCAACCGAGTTCTCCAGAGAGATCAGAAGGGGTACAGCTCTGTATTGGTGAACTGCAGGTCTTCTCCCTGAGCAATTGCCACCCTCTGTCATTTCATTAGCATTATTAATCCCACATTTGTTCTAATGATATCTCAATAGAGGGCTGTTTTCCAACATAGATACCTGCTTCATTTTGCATATGTGTCATCTATTTGCTGAGAAAAATCTTGATGCAGCCACAACAGCTGATAGCCAGCAAGGGATCATCTTCTCCGTTGATAGACCAGCTGGGGAATTTTGTCAAAACACAAAATGGTCAACTGACTCAGCCTGGGCCACACAGAAAGCAAGAAGTTTGTGCTTAAAGCCCGGGCTGAGGAAATTTCCATGTCAAAGAATGAAAGCAGGGTCTTTTGCATTTTTAAAATCAATGTTCCTCAGGCAATTTATATTAACAGCTGTGTAAACTATGCAAGAATGTGTACAAAGGCTCCGTATATTAGAAGGTGTTAGTAACATAAAACTTAGACATTTTTCTGCAGAGGTTTCTTTCTTTCTTTCTTTCTTTCTTTCTTTCTTTCTTTCTTTCTTTCTTTCTTTCTTTCTTTCTTTCTTTCTTTCTTTCTTTCTTTCTTTCTTTCTTTCTTTCTTTCTTTCCTTCTTTTCTTTTAACCCATTGAAAATGCCAGGGTGGAATATAGTCTTAGTACAGCAGGTAATCAAGTCAATGGCATTTTTATTCAGTTGCATCTCCAGCTGGGTGGGAGGAAGAAATTTAAATAAATAAATTTATGTTGGACCCAAGAGAAAGGAGCTCTATGAAAAACTGTACAGCCCACAGTTCTGAAGGAGAGACTGTAACTGTCTCCTTTCTACATCCAAACTCTTGAGTTCAGCTCCTGATCTTTAAAGATGGTAGAAGATGGGCTTGGCCAGAGATGCTGGAGGATTCTTGCTGCCAATCAGGTGTCTTCTATTTTTCACACCAGTTTTCCAGATTTCCACAAAATCCTGAACCTGCAATGAAAGGATAAATCTACTTCTGATTGGCAGTAATAGGTTGGTCTGATAGACACCTCAGGATAGAGTTGAGTAGCATGACACTATGTGAGTCATGATATCATCATGCAAACGACACCAATTTGCAATGTTGGCACAACAATGTCATGTCATACGTGATGCTACTGTTTGACCATGACATCTATGCATATGTTTAACCTGGTCAGGGAAGGAGCTAACAGTTGCATTCTCACAGTGAGCTAAATATGGCTGAGGTTAATCTTAATTAGGTTTTCTATGGCATAAGATGAAGAGCAAATTCAGCCCTGCAGGTTAACTTGGAACTGAATAGACTGTTGTATCTATCTTTGGAACAATGCACACCAATTATATCGCTTGCCACCCAGCTTGATGTATTTCTTATAGCTATGATAAATCTCATCCCTGTCCTCAAGAAATATACCATAAAGACTAAGACCAGGATAAAAGAATACAGAATAACAGAGTTAGAAGGGACCTTGGAGGTCTTCTGGTCCAACTCCCTGCTCAGGCAGGAGGCCCTATAACATTCTGGACAAATGGCTGTCCAATCTCTTCTTAACACCTCCAGTAATGGAGCACCCACAATTTCTGGAGATAAGCCATGATGAGGAAGAGGATTATTTCCCACTGGAATGCTGGTTTGGGCTGGAGAATTGCAGTGCAAAACATCTGCTGGTCCCACATTGCCCAGTTGAATTAAATAATTAGGAGCAGCACAAACTCAAGTAGTTGCCCTCATGATTGTTGTTAGTGCAGCAGTTCCCACATTCCACTTCTGTCTTCTTCCGTTTCTATGTTTGTGGTTCTGTCCTCCATCTTTTCTTAATTTAATTTCTTAATGTTGAGACTTTAATTTCTTAATGTTGACATTGCTGATGGGCCCCTTAATCGATCAGATGTGCTCAGCGAGAGAAAAGAAGCTCAGCTATTGCTGAATGCTTACAAGGAAAGTCCATGTTTTTAGAAGAGCTCCTTGAGAAAAGCATGTCGACATGCTGGAAAATTATAAGCGAGCTGTTGATTTCTTCACCTGTAACAGTTTCTGGGATCGATATGAGAAGACACCAAATGATGGAAAGACACTTAGAAAGGAACAGGCGACCCTGGGTGCTGATCCCAACCAGGATGACTTAGACAACAATAAAGAGAAGGAAGGGTTACAAAAGACTGGAAATGAGCAAAATCTTGCATTGGTCACTGTGTAAGTCACTGATAGTCATTGTCAGTGAGTTGGGTGGCCATAATAATTTTCTCAACAAATAAAGAAAAAACATTTGCTGAAAGAAGGAGAAGGTTGTGAACCAGCTACGGAAAGGAAAGAATAAGTATCTCAAAAATCCTGCAACAATGACGGATAAAATAGACTTTTTTCCTCTTTTTATGACTCTTTAATCTCTTTATTCGAGGTGAAGTTGGGGATGACTGAATGGAGCTGGGTATTTACTGGCCTGATGCCTTTTCTGAATGCCTTTGTGCTGTTCACGGCAGATATTTTCTCTTTGCTCCCTGATGGAGAAACATCTATCACTGCCTAGGATTGAATGTTCAACCTTCCTAGTGGGAGATGAGTGTCATCATCACTAGGCCACTGTGCTGCTCAGACTGATAAAATAACCCAGCATCCTCAAAATATATTGGAACAATCATTCCAAGAATTCCAACAGTATTCCTTATCATCTTACAAGCCAAAAGTTTTATCAACCTGGCTCCTACTTGCCCTCCCCTTTAATACATATTATTTACATCAAACAGCAATGGTTCTCTATATGCAAAAGAAACATACAAGAGGAATTGAGTATGTCTATTTTAATGAAAAGAGGGACTAGGGATGACATAATAGCAATGTTCCAATATCTAAGGAATTTCCACAAAGAAGAGGGAGTCAAGATATTCTCCAAAGTACCTGAAGGCAGGACAAGAAGCAACGGATGGAAACTAATCAAGGAGAGAAGCAACCTAGAACTAAGGAGAAATTTTTGAGACAGTTAGAACAATTAATCAGTGGAACAACTTGCCTCCAGAAGTTGTGAATGCTCCAACATTGGTGGTTTTTAAGAGGAGATTGGGCAAGCATTTGTCTGAAATGGTATAGGATTTCCTCCTTGAGGGGGGGTTTGGACAAGAAGACCTCCAAGGTCCCTTCCAACTCTGTTATTCTGTTAGAATTTAGATCTCTTTCTTCCTTTTCTTACACCTGTTAAGGGTTGTAATCCTCTGTATCCCTTCCATTTGTTCATTATGGAACTGAGTGTCTTCCCCTCCCAAAACGCACACCTGAGATAGCTCCTGGGGAAAAAAGAACATGTATGTCCTAAAATGTCTAGGGCAGGGGTGGGCAAACTTTTTGGCTCGGGGGCCGCATTGACTTTTAAAATTTGACAGACGGGCCACCACCTGGTGTCGAAATGCCTGTCATTACAAGTCAAAATCAAATGAATGCAATCATTCAATCATTCACATCAAACCTTAATTCTGTACCAATCTTCGGCGGGCCGGATTAAAAAGACCAACGGGCCGGATGTGGCCCGTGGGCCGTAGTTTGCCCACCCCTGGTCTAGGGAAATGCTAGTGTTTATAATGAACAGCCAGAAGAGAAGGAGGGGAGAAGATCAGATTTCTCCAATTCTCAGTTACACCCATAATGCTTCGACATGTGACTCCTGGACCTTTGTCTCAAAGAGGATCAGAAGACAATACTTAGAGATTATGTGGAGACGTAGAACAAAACTGAGGAGTGCACTGCTGACATACCAAAATTGAATTGTTTGAGAGGTGATCTACTTGTTTATTTCTTTTTGCAAACAAGAATCCATTCCTAGCTTGGATACTTTCCAAGTCAGTCTGATTAGAAATAAACTAGCCTGTGCTTGCTATGAACATAATAGGGAATAAATATTGCTAACAGTTCAGTTTTCACAAGTTTTGTTTTTTAGACCAGCCATAATAATCTGGGAAATACATTCACACAAGATATTCCTATGTTAAATGTGTTTAACACTCAGGGTTTTGGTGCTTCTTGTCTGGAACACCTCAAAGAGCTGACATTCATGGTTTCATGCCTAGGGTGGGACTAGAACTCACATTCTCCTGATTTCTAGCCTGGTGACTTTAACTATTACACCCAACTGCTTCTCATTGCCCTATCACTACTGTAGTAAAGAAAAGAATGTCTAATGTCAGTTTAGCAGGACTCAAAGGAAAGGACACAATTCATCACTATCATAATTAGTAGAATCAGACAAAATCATTTCCAACAGCTTGGAAGTTCACTCCAATTAAACAGCCATCATATTTCAATTTTGCTACAATTATTTCTAGTAAGTCAAGCCTTCGTTCAACTCTTTATGACTTCTGGGATAAACCCATAGAGAAGCCATCTTCTTCTGGAATAGGTTTCTGAATTTCTAGTCAAGCCTTGGTATTTTTTAGTCGTCTTCCATCAAAATATTAAAGAGGTTCCACTCCGCTCAGTTTCTGTGAACAGACAGGATTCTGAGACAGTAAAACTGCTTATTAAAAATAGAAATGGTGCGTGCTGTCTTTTAAGAGGCATTTCCAATGCCATGATGTGACACATCCATCTATTAGCTAACGAAGAAAGAATGTAAACTTCCCTTTCATTCCCTGTAACAGGTTTGTCTTAAGTGCAAAGCTATGCAAACCCATTGCCTAAAATTCAGACCAAGAGAACCTGAACCAACAGTAGATTATTTGTAGGATTTTCCTCAATGGCTTAAAGACTCAGAACCCCTTGTGATGTTTTACGCTCTTCCCAAAGACTTAAATGTGTTGAGTTGGCAAGACATCATCTTCTAAATGAGCCCCCCATTGTTCAACGCCCTCTTGGGTGAAAATACCACAAGTGTTGCGAGTCTGGGAATCTGGATGAAGAAAATCCGAAGTGACTTGGTCTGTTGGCAAATGGGACCAGACATCTTTCGGTTAATTTGGCTGCCTCCCTCCCCGTGCCTCCCCTTCCCTCTTTACACAAAACCTTCTCAATGCTGCTGGCAGGTCCTTTGACTTGGACATGATTAATGGGCCAATCTCACACTAGGAATGGGTTTTCTCTACCTTGGAAACATCCCATTGCTCCTCTTTGTTGGACTGAACTCACTTTGTTCAGCGTTTTCCCAGAATGGCTGAAGGCCATTGCTTTTCAGAACAACAAAAGCAGAATGATAGAGCTGTCATTGTCCAGGGAAATACGTCTGCCCTTTCCTGTTCCAAGATTCCCTCAAGTAATGCAAGTTTTACAACGGTTGAAAAAAAGGGTGACTTTTTTCGCTTTATGCGAAGGTGGGGATCTTTTTTTTAATCCACACATGGGTGAGGGGAAAGCTTCCTTTTTTTATTTTTTTGAAAGATACAGCCAGGGGTGGGCTTCAAACATTTAAGCAATAGGTTCTATGCTCGATTGCTGGGTGGGCGTGGCCATTGTGGGTGTGGCCTAGTCGGCCTCCTGCACCATGATGGGTGTGTGTGTCATTTTTGCCCTTCTTGGGCTCCGGAGGCTCTCTGGAAGCTAGAAACAGCCCCATTTCCAGCCTTCCCGAACTCCTGGGAGGCCCTTTTTTCGCTCTCCCTGAGCCTCCATGCGCGACCTGCACTTACTTGCATCCAAAACAGGCCATATGGGGAGTCCTGGGAGGGGAGAGGTGGGTGGGGCCGGTGAGGAGTGGGATTTGGTGGTTCTCTGAACTGCACAGAATCTTAGCTAGGTGTCAGGTGGTGCTCCATTCAAGATTCAAGAAAGAAATACTTAGACTCTTTAGATTAGAGAAAAGATATCTTTTACTGAAAATGAAGTGGTAGCATCACTAGAATTCTGAATCTGAGAAATTAGGCGCGTAGATCACATATACAAAGGGATGGAAATGTTCCCACCCCCCATAGTTCAAATGATTCTTCCAATTAAAAGTTGTGAATATGAACATGTGGACATCTTCAGGTGGTGATGAGGCCTCTGTCCATTGACCTTGGCATAGTTTGATAAAGGTTTGCAGCTGCGCAGAGAAAAGAAAGCTAAGCGAGAAATAGAAACCTAAAGCAGGAATTCATACTCCCCCCTCTCCTCATTTACACAACACAAGAATGTAACACCTCCAGCTCTCTTCCCAGACGTTGCCCCCCCCCCTTACTTATGGCAGCCAAAAGATGCAAAGCAGTAGTAGAAGATCTTGAAGGCTGACATTAGGGGTTCTCCCAAATCCCTGTGAACCCCCAGAAGCCCAGCCCTGGATACCGCTATTCCAGGACTTTAAACATCTTGATTGCTCTTGAAATAGAGTCATCTGCATGAACACTTTTAACTTTTCCTCTTGTGCCTATTCTTTAACTATTCTGTTAAAGGAAAGGAGGGCAGGAAGGGCCCAGAATTTAGGAGAAAAGATTGCACTCTTTTGCCTGGGAGGACAAAGAGAATCAGAGGTGAAGGGTGAGGATGGGAAGAGCATTCCAGAAGTTCTCAAAGCGAGCATTTTAAAGTATTAACCTAGGTACATTTTAATTTTGGTTCAGAAGCATGATGTGAATAAGCTCAGCTTTGCAAATACCTTTACCTCCAAAACCTGCAGCTTTGCAGATCCAATTTTACACCCTTTTTTTTGCAAGTCGCTAGGCAGATCCAGTCTTTGCTATGGGCCGGTTTTGACAAAAAACTGGAAGTAAATGCTGGTTTTTGACAAAAACATTGTAGAGTGTGGTCAGATGACTATGGGCTAGTTGCTGAGCCCCTGACATGTGGGGGGGGGCACCTGATTATGGGGAAGGAGCAGCTTTTGGAACTTCAGAATTGGATTGGAAGTAAATCCCTCCCCCCACACCAGGGAGGTCTGTCATAATTTCAAATGGTTGTTCAGTGACCAATTGTAAACCGAGGACTTCCTGTGATTGAAAATACCTCAAGAAAACAGAAATGGCCTACCATCAAACCTGATGTCTGATTCATAACCTCAGTCCCCCATATTTCTAGGAGCATCAACACCCAATCGTTACTCCCACAGGCCCCCTGTACATTTACTCAGAAGTTAATCCCGAGATGGATTGAACTCACTGCAGATGTATTACACACAGGCTGATAAATAGACTTTACTCTCAAAATCAGCCCTGCTTTTATCAGCAGCTCAGAAAACTTGCAATTTTATTATCCTTTCACTTTGACACCGGAGCAGAGCAGTACATTTCTCCATGCTGCGGATTGGCAGAGATAAATGGGAGAAATTTCTTTGTGATTACATAATGCGAATCCCGCTCAAAGATGAGTGTTTAGGCACCTCTATGTTTTCCAGTTTCTAGTCAGGCAGGGTATAAAAAATGACTAAGGCTGAGTGCCTCCAGGCTCAGTCGCAGTTCATGCAAACAATACCATAAAGGTATTTGCAAGAAATGACATTTTCATTTCCTAAGCATATTTGGCTATAAATTCCATACTGGGTTTATGAGCTTCACAAAGGA